TGCACAGGGAGACAGCTCAAGGGGCAGGAGTGCATGGAGGGATGGACACTGGGAAGAGGTACCTTTTCTGATGCATGAGTTTCTTTTCTGTTTTGGAATAGTGGTTGTCCAACCTTTTCTTGAATGTGTCCAGTGAGGCCTGAGTTCTTAGTTAATCACAGACTCTCGCTTTTGACACCTGTATGAGGCTGGGGGCTGCGCTGCCAGTCGAGTCTGTGGGCGGAGGGCCAGGGTCAATGCGGGCTCCGCAGCCGCTGGATGGGAGAGCTTCTCTTATTTTCTTGAAAAGTCAATGGTGTAAGTAGAAGATGTTTACATTTCATCCAGCTTTTCTAGTTATTTTATAGTGGGAAGTTTTATTATTATTAGTTTTCTATTCTACTATATTTGTTGCTGTATTATATATCTATAGAAGTAGATTGTCCAGTCTTCCTTCTGAGTGGTGGCTGGTGGATATTAACTGCCAGTCTTCTGGTTAGCAGTTAAATGCCTTAGGCACTAAGGCACCAGAGCCACCAGAGCTCCTATATATTACATATAACCTATTATTTATTCATTTAGTAGATGAGAAACTGAGACCTTTAGAAGGAAGTGGGCTACCTAAGGTCATACTGCTAGGTCAACACCTGAACTGGCACCAGAACCATGTTTTCCTGATGCCTACTCTAGAGTTTTTCCTCTCTGGGTAAATGTGCCTCTTCTCTCTTTCTTACCCAAGTATTTCTCTCATATTTAGTCCTATGAGGATCTGGTTCAGCGACTAGAGCCAGTTATAATGGAACTAGAGCGACAGGAGAATGTATTGGTTATCTGCCACCAGGCTGTCATGCGGTGTCTCCTGGCTTACTTCCTGGATAAGAGCTCAGGTACCTCCTCTTCTCTGTTCGTGGTGTGCAAAACTGGGCATGATTTGAGACCCTGACACCAACAGTTGGAGCTTTATGTGTTAGTGTTAAGAGTACAGTAGCTAGAACCAGGATACCTGAGTCTAAATTTTTGTTCCACCAAATATTAGCTATACTACCTTTGGCAAATTATTTAACGTCTCTGACATTAGTTTCCTTATTTGTAAAATGCAAATAATGGTGAAGTTTAAATAAGTCAACATATGTAAAGCACTTAGAACAGTTCCAGCCTTCTGGTTAGCAGTCAAATGCCTTAGTCACTATGCCACCAGAGCTCCTTCATGATACATAGGGTAGACTATATAAGTGTTAGCTGCTATTATTATTAGTAGTAGTAATATCAGCATTATTATTAGTATTAGTCTGAGTTAACATTTCCAAAGCCAACATTAGCAGTCTGCCTCAACCTGAAAAAGGTGAGCCAGTATTTCTCTGGAGCATGTTATAATCAGGTGGTTGTAAGGCTGTCATGGCCACATGATCCTGATGTTAAATAGGCTTCTGTCTTTGCCAAATGGATGATTTCCCCAAAATAGTGTTGTTTGCATTTTAATTTTTTTCAAATTATTGTTTATTTTTTTTAAATATCTAGACATTGAACTTACTGAATATCTATACACTGACCACATATGCTGAATCACAGACTAAGGCAGGTGGCCAGACAAAGGACTGTTGTATCACCTTCAGGTGTGAGAGTCCATTTCTCATGCAAGTGCTGAAGTGTTGGCATTTCCATATTCTGAGAGTATGTGAAGGCAATGGAAACTGATATCTGAAGTCTTCAATGTCCTGTAAACTTGGATCTTTTTTATGGTGCTAGTTTCAAAATAAAGAGCACATGTAATGAGGAGTCATCAGAATTGGAATCCAGAGAACTTGTGAACTTGCCATTGGACAAGTCATTTCCTGTGCATGGTCCTCAGTTTCCTCACTAGCAAAAGGTGATGAGGGTTGGTTGGGGGTTCTTGGGCTGCCAGATTTCTGATACTGTTCACATCTCTACTTTTTGGTACTATCTTCTAAGACTGTAAGACAGGCACTCTAGCCCCATTGTCCAGATGAGGAAATGGAGGCTCAGAGAGGTGTAGTGAGTTTCTCAAGGTCATGGGGCTCAAGGTGACTGGGTTAGGAGCTGATCTCAGGTGCATTCGAGAGGCCCTCCCCTCTCAGATATGCATAGAGTGTCAGGGGACATGTGCACCTCCAGCTTGTACACTGCTTTCTCCACTCCCATTTCCCACCTGCTTTCATGCACTGGGCCATGCCAGCTTCTCACAATTGCTCTAGAAGCCAGGCAGGGGAGGACAGATGTTCTTACAACTATACCTCAGGTGAGGAAAGTGAGGCACAGAAAGATGATATAAGTACACTGCAGCTCCACAGAACCTTGGAACTACATCTAGTCCAACCCTGTCATGTGAGAGACAGGAGCACTGAGGGCCAGTGAGAGAAACGGCTGGGCCAAAGCCACTTGCTGAGACAGTGGATGAGTTGGGGCTGAGACCTCAGGCACATCTCTTCCCTCCTCTGAGTCTGTTTCCTTGTGTGTACAATGGGGAACACTAACCCCAGCAGAATATCTCTGAAGATGGAACAAGAGAGTGCATACAAAGTTCTTAATCGCACATAAAGTGCTCATGATGATGGTGACAGGGGTGGGGAGGAGGATGGCTGCCCCATGATATGCCTAATCTGATGTCTCAGGAGGCTGGGAGGGTTGTGGCAGGCCTAGGGAGAACCTAAGGACCAGGAAGATGGAAGGAGTAGAGTTCCTGCTGAATGAAGGGAAATGGGGAGTGGCATATGCAAGGTGGGTGGGTGGGTGGGTGAGTGGGTATCAATGGAGAGTGGTGAGTAGGTGTGTGGGCTGCTCATACTATACCGTCAGTCCCTCAAGGGCAGTGTCAGCAGACTGATGAAGGTAAAGCATGCAACTTGGCCTCAGAGGGTCCTGAGTTCAAGTCCCACCATTGATACTTCCTGGCTTTGTGACTTTAGGCAAATGTTTTCCACTTCTGGCCTCAGTTTCCTCACTCATGGAGCAGATCTAATCCTTCTGTCCTCTCAGGCCTGCCTATGAGGAGTCAAAGAGAGCAGCCTGGGCTGGCAGAAAGAGGTGGGAGATTTCAACTGCCAGGCAAACACAGGCTTGTGCCCTGGCACATCGTAGAGTGTCAGGAAACATTTGCTAAGATTAATTGTGGGCCTTTGAAGTTGGGGCACCTGTGGAAGGCCCAAGGCTGGGTCAGGAGAGAGACCTGCAGTGCTCTGTTAGTGAGGAGGTAGACTCATCACTGAGGTGACAAGTTTGAGTCTCCTGTGGGACCTATAGTCTGTCTGCATTTCCCAGTGTCCTCCTCTCTCCCTCCCTGCCCAACCCACTCTTGGCACTATCCCTTACAGAGTACAGGAGTGTGAGCCCATAGCCTAGGAAGGCAGACCTTGGAGAAGGGTAGCTAGAAGGGGTTGGGTATTGTAAGCCTTGTGCCTGGCAGGTGGTGATCTCCTCCAGAGCTATCTTTCTGAGGGCTGTTCTCTCCCTTCCAGAACAGCTACCCTATCTCAAGTGCCCTCTTCACACAGTGCTCAAACTCACACCTGTGGCTTATGGTGAGTGCCCCGCCTCATCCAAGGAATGTCACATAGAGGTCATGAGCATGCCTCTAATGCCTACCATGTGTCCATCAGAGTCCTAGGGGAGATTCCTTTGGTGGGTAGTTGGATTTTCTTGTGGAAGTGGCACTTGTGAAACTAGAATGAGAACAGGGAAGGCCTGGGATGGCCTCTAAATACAAGATCTGGCCCCAATTTTTCTTGGCTTCTTTGTCAGAGCACCAAGCTACAAAAGGGCTCACCTGCAGCAGGTGATTCCTTGATTTTAATAAATTTGATTCAATGGGGAGTGGGGAAAATGAAAGACATGAAAGATTGGAATGGGAGGCCCACTGGGAACTAGAGGAAAAAGAGTAGTTTGGGGCTAGATTGAAGACAGCATCAAAGACCAGGCCAGCTGGCTTAGACTCTCTCCTGTGACATTAGTTAGCCATGAAAGGTTTGTTTGAAAATTAAATCTGTTCTGGAGCATAAGCAGGGAAGAATGATATACTGAAGCCTGAAGTAGGTTGTAATCTACCAGAATGGAGCTAAGGGGCTTCAACAGGGATTGGGCCTCTTCTGACAACCCCAGACACCATTGATGCCTCCCTCCTTCTTCTTCAGTTTAGAATGCCCTTGGGCCCTCCCATACCTCTAGTGTTGCCTTAACCACATTTTTCCCTTACTAAACTTTACCTGGGACTGATTGTCCCAAGGCAGTGGCTTCAGATATCTTCTACCACTCTGGCACAGAACATGGCTTAGAGGATCCAGAACCCCATCAATATTATATAGATTGCTGTTTCACAGACCACCAGAGCTGGGAGGGGCTCCAGAGATCATCATATCTCCATCCCTATTTACAAATGAGCAACTGAGGCCTGGGGAATTCAGAGATTGTTAGGGGCAGAGCTGGGAGGACAGGCCCATTTGCATGCAGCCTCTTAGGTCTTTCCCATACACCTCGTAGCTAAATTCCTCCCCTACAAGGCAGTCGCAATCTCAATCTGTACATAGTGTGGAGGTGGAGTGCAGGGGGTAGGATGGCACCCCAGGGAAAACCTATGATTACCTTGGAGATTTATGGAAAGGGTTGTTCTTTTCTGAGGCTGCAAAGTGGAGTCCATCTACCTGAATGTGGAAGCAGTGAACACGCACCGGGAGAAGCCTGAGGTAGGTGGGGGACTCTGTGGCCTAGTCTGGCTGTGGACATAGCACACAGTAAAAGCTCCTCCTCCACAGAAAAGCTTCCCAAACTTCACAGAGCCTGGCTGTTTTACACCAACAGGTAGAATAACCAGCAGAAATGTAGGAATAGCAGCCCAGACCTGAAGCATTATAGAGATGCAGGCCTAGAGCAGCCCTGCCAACAAGGCCTTTGGATGAGATTTCCCCTCCAGGCCAGCCTGAAGGAAGAGTCAGGATCCAGGCCTGAATGAGAGAGGGGGAACTAGCAGTGAGGACAAGAGGCAGGGGAGGGGATGATGCCATAAACTTCTGTGTCTTTCCTATTAATCCTGGGCTCTCTTTTCTCAGAATGTGGACATCACCAGGGAACCCAAGGAAGCTCTGGATACTGTCCCTGCCCACTACTGAATCCCTCCCAGGAGGAAAAATTGCCTTTTCTCCTTTTTATTCTACCACAAAGAGTTCCAACCTTTAGGAGCTTCTATCCCTGCTCCTCTCCTGCCCTTGCTCTCACTGGAAGAGCCTTGCTTCCAGTGAAGACATTCTCAGCAGCTCCAAAACAAGTCTTTTTCTGAGGTACAACCAAGGAGCTGTTTAACTCTGGATGAAGCTTAGTTTTTCTTTCTAAATTCCTAATCTGTGATCAATAAAGACTTCTCTTACTGCTTACAGAAGATAAGAAGTCATTGTGAGGCTTCCCTCATTGTCCTTAAGATCCTGACCCTGTGAAGTGGTTCTGGTGCTGTGAAGTGTGGGAATAGGGAGGGATTCCTGTAGAAAAGGGTTCTGGGATGAAGATGGGGGAGGATATAGGTTCCTGTGAGTGACTGTGGGTTTTTTTCCTCGATGAGTAGTGTGGCTGAACCTTCAACCTTACATTTAGAGAAGAATCTAGCACTTGGTCTACAGTGCTTCTTTCTACTCCAACACTTTCTGCTTTCTGAGTGATTTCACTGTCCATATGAATGACCCAACCAATGCCCTGGCTTCTCAGGTCCCTGAACCCTTCAACTCTAGTGATGGTCTCCTCCACTTCAGCCAGCCACTCCATGGATCTTCTAGACTTCTCCTGACCCTGACTTCTTAAATACAATCATCTCATTGTCTGACCACTAGTTTCTCAGTCCTTATAGCCTTCTGCATTATCCATAGATCTCCTAAGAGCATGCCTGTCACACAGAAAAGAGACAAGTGATATTTCTTAAATGAACAATATCTGTACTTGTACTGCATCACTTCTCTTCTTCCTCACTATTATTCCATCCCTAGTCAGCATGGGTGATACAGTCCATTTCATCAGCCACTCTCCATACCTCTAATATGGGCTAGGTACTGGAAACACTTGCTGCCTTTGTTTCATTGTCTTTCCATTACAAAAACCCAAACTCACTGCTGTGGATTCTATTATGACTCATAGCAAACCCTCCTTGGGTTTTTGAGGCAGTACCTCTACAGAAGTAGATTGCCCAATCTTCCTTCCAAGGAGTAGCTGGTGGGTTTGAACCAGCAGCCTTCTGGTTAGGAGTGAAATGCGTTAGGCACTACACCACCAGAACAACCACCCAGAAAACTCAAACCATGTAAAATCCACTTCTATTTTGTTAGCTTCTACTACAGGGTAGATGATCAGTGCTTGAAGCAAATCTATACTTACTTGCTTCCATAGATAGCCTTAAATCCTGTTCAAAGTCAGGGCCAACCTCTAATTTTGGTGCCATATCCCATCCTGCCTTCTCTGGGATGGGCTGCTTCAGTCAGTCTCTGACTTCCATATCTATTGCTTCTCTCTATATATTGGTTTCTCTTAGTGTGTGTCCACTGCTTCCATGTTCAGGTAGGTGGATTCCACTTTGCAGTCTCAGTCTATGTAAGATGCTTAAGACTCTCTCTCTCATGTTCCAAGAAAGTTCTCTCTTGTTCCCATGTCTACCTCTTGTTATCTCTCTCAATTCTTCTATTCTTACCCTATGTCCTCAAAATGAATATATGCTTACTGTTCAGTCCCCCTCCTTCTGCCTTATGCTTCAAAATGTCCTCTTCCGTAATTTACTCCACCACCAAAGCCAGCGCTGTTACTTGAGCCACCGCTGAAGCTAGTACTGGTGCTTGGTCCACTGCTAAAGCCAGCACCAGTGCTTGGTTCTCTGCCAAATCCAACAGTAGAACTGGGTCCACCACTGAAGGTAGTGAGTTCATGGCCACTAGAAACAGGCAGCTAAGCCTAATGGTTCATTGTCAGGGATGCTTTGAAGGTCTATCTTAGGTCTTAGCTTAGAAGAGATAGAGGGCATGGAAGAGAATGAGAACAGAGTTCAGGACCATTTCCCCATCTACCCAGATCAGAACCATAGGTCCTCTACCCAATCTTGAACCCCTACCCACTTCACCAGACCATTAGGCTGATAAATCCTGGGACCATCCTCTCTTGCCAAAAAGGACACCATGGACAATAGAAAGTTCAGTCACACCTAGGGCACAGCCCTAATTTGCATAGAACCTCCCAGAAGACAGCTGCAATGGAGTCAAGAGGAGACAGGGATAGAAAATGAGCACATGGTATTCACACCATGACCACTCAGCTGCAGGTCCAGCCACTCACCCTCATTGGACTGATTCATGAAGATGATGCACCATAAGGAGATCCAGTTTGGGTGAGTCCTTGGTCCCAAAGCAGTAATAGGACAGAGAGAAAATGTATGTCCAGCAGCCATTTGCAAAAGCCATATCAGCCAGCTCACTAAGCTAGCCTCTCCCAGATTCCTCAGATATCAGAGAATTCTCTGCCCAGTCTATGCTCCAGGCTGTATGTAATCCTGGTCAAGTTACTCACACTCAGAAAAATGGGGAAAACCACATCCTTTCCTCCCCAGGTTGCCCAGATGGAAGAAAAGCTGTCAGCCTGGTACACACAGTTACTCAGCCTCTTTGAATTCTTTCTTTCTCTCCCAGGTCCCACAGCCCTGTAAGAACTCTAGGTATAGCTCCACTGATGATTCTCCTGCCCTTTGAGCATCATGATCTACCTGCACCAGGAAGCCCTCCTTTGAAAACCACTCTACAAGGCCAGGCCAGGTACCAGCAGGCACATACAAGCAACTACAGGCTTGTTTTTCCTGGGAAGCTTCTGGAGAGACAAAACACATGACAGCAGGAATGCCCCACCCCAGGCCTCTATACCCTTCAAGTAATCACAGTTGGGCACCACTACTATGTACAGAGCTTCAACCAGTGCGGGAGATGGAGCAGGGGCTTTTTAAGCCCTGTCTTTCCTGACTGTGTAAGGGGATGTGGGGAAAGAGGACAGGGAAGAGGTAGTACCATGGACAAAACTTCCCCTTGCATCCCACCCCCTTCAGCATACATTCACTGTACACCAGCATCAGTAGGTTCTAGGGTGCTGATGAGAATATTCAAGCTACTTTTTTTTTATCAGTTTCCTTCAGATTGATTCAAAACACCTGCCAAGTTTTTTTTTTTTTAAGCCTATATGATCACCAAATTCAGCCTCAGCATTCCTCAGCTTCCCAGGCATCTCACAGCTCTTTGGGTAACTAGGTTTTTTATTTTGTTGTTGCTTTGTTTAAATGTGAACTCAGTAAGATAATGCATATAAAGCATTAAGCTAAGTTCTTGGCACAGAGTAAACAGGCAATAAATGTACTATGTCTATCAATAGCATCTTTGTGATTAGTGGAAATCTAGGGAGACAGAGAATGGAGACTGGAAGGGAGAGGTGAACATCTGAAATATATTATGTCCAGCAGTGGACAGAAACAAGGGCTAGTTAAGTGGTTTGGATCCTAGCTGTGCTTTTGCCATTGACTTACTGTGTGGCCCATGGCTCCTCTGTGCCCCTCCATAGGCCACTGTCTGCCCATCTGCATAGTGGGTTAGTGAGTTTCTGTAGTACTTCTCAGAAGGGATGTGTGTACCTTTGTTAATTTAAGGTTTCCCACTGCACTCATTCTCCCAGAGATGCCCCTTCAACTTCTCCAAAGTGCAGCTTGCTCATTCAATGCTCTCTGGAACATATTCATTATATTATTGGATAACATCCTTCAGTATGTCTGCGAGAGGGAGAGGCGGGAGCAGCTTAGCTAACCAGGGCATACAGAGCTACAGCCTTTTTGCCAGTCCTGGGGGGTACTGTGTTAATGGCCATGGCAGAATATGAGGCAGGAGTGGAGTTATGAGGGTTAGACATATGAGAGAATGAGTCAGCCATAAAGGTAAAAGGTTACATCTCAGGACATGAAGAAGGGAGTTGAATACCTAGCAAAGCTCAGAGAGGAGGGTTTGTAGGGTTCTACCAGAGCACTTGATGGAGATCTTTATCTGGTCCAACAGGTATTTCAACTTATTTGCCTGAGAGTGGAGGAATATATAGGGAGATTGCAGAATGTCTGCAGAAAACTTGGAAAAAATGATAGAGAAGAGGGCAGGCAGGGAAGGGAAAAGATTGGGCAGCATTGCAAAATGGCCACATTTCAGGGTGACATTGGCTCCGGGGGATCCTCCTGTAATTATTGCCACCTCTACATCCTCATTCAGATGTTTGAACTGTATCATCAGAATAAAGGAATGGCCAGAGTCACCAGGTGAAAGAGATAGCTCTGTCACTTCATCTTACCTCTTCCAGAAAGCCCCTGTAGCGGGGCCTGACCTAGCCGTTGGTCATGCTAAGTCTCAGACATGTCTTTCACTGTCTTTCAGGCAGCAGTTACATTCCCCTTCCAGGCCAGGAGCAACCCAAACACAGGGCCTGAGGCTCCTCCTTCTCCTTTCTCCATTACTGACTTTAACATGTATTAACTATATCCTTGGGCATATCACTTCATCTCTCTTGGATTCAGTTTCCTTATCTGTAAAATTGGGACTATGATCCTTAGTTGGTAAGAATTACTTTCAAGATATAAAGACATAACTTGTATGAATGTACCCAACACAAAGCCTACATGGTAGCTACTATATAAATACAAGTTGAATTACCTCAAGGTTGTAGTTAAGTGTATGGATGCCTTATTTCCCCACTAGTCTATGGACTGCCAGAGGGTAGAAACTACATCACATTCTTCTCAACATCTCATACCTTATCTGAACACAGGATCTGGTTCAAAGTAAAAATGCTCAGTACATTTTTATAGAAGAAGCAAACAAATCAGGAATTTAAAAAGAGAGGGGTAAAATCAAGGATGGTGATGTCAGAGATCTTACCTTTTTCAATTCTTCTTGCCCTGGATCCTGGTTATGGGCTCCAGACTCGACTGAGTCAGGTGGTCATCTGCCACAACCTGGACACCAGCAGCTACCTGGGTATCAAAGGCACTTACTTTGGTCTGGGGGCTTTGGTCAACAATTTTAGTCTGGTGCTCAGCTGCCCATGACTTAGTGGCAGCGTTCTATGTGCT